GGGGGAGGAATACTGAAGAGAAAGAGTGAACTTGCTCGAGTACGTTCTTTGCACATAAGCGCTAACAGTTTTTAAAGAAATGAAGCCACGTTTTACTTCCCCCTCCCCCTGCTCTCCTTCACTCGCTTTGTTTTTTTTTCTTTTTATTATCCATGGAGACACCTCCCCGCTCCCCGCTCTCAGCCTGCTCCCTGCTCCCTGTCACACCGTTTTCTCAAGTGCTTCGCGTCACCTTGCCTCAGTTAGCGTGTCTGCACCACACCGCGTCGTTGCGTGCCCGTGTTCTTTTTTTTTTCCTTCTTCTGCAGTATCCTTTCTTTCTTGGGGATTAGCGTGGTTGGGTCTGTCTGCGTGTGCGAGAGCGGGAACCTGGCAGGGAGCGAGTAGTAAAGCGCTTACCGACAGGAGGGTGAAGACGGCAGAGAAGTGAAGTAACAGGAGCAAAAGAGGCACTAAAAACACCCTACCCCCTACCCACCAATAATAATAATACTAATAATAATAAAGGCAGAGAAGTGAAGGCAAAGCGAGGGAGAAAAAAGGGGGAGGGAGAAAAAAAAGTAGTAACTGGACGGTTGAGGTCATGAGCGGCACAGACGTTGAGGAGTTGCGCCAGGTAACACTTGGCAAGAAGCTAGGTGCCGGCAGTTTTGGTTCGGTCTACGCCGGCATCCTCCCCAGTGGTCGGTTTGTCGCAGTGAAGGAGTTGGAGCTCGCGGAAGATGCCCCCACCAACACTGAGGTGGAGATTCATAAGAAGCTGGCACATGAAAACATCATTCGATACCTTCACAGCCGCGTCGACGCCGAAAGCTCACCGAAGCGATTGTTTGTCTATCTCGAGTTTGTCACGGGGGGTTCGGTGACGTCACTTATGAAGACGCTTCCAAAGGGACGTTTGCCAAACCCGGTGGTGCGCGTGTACGCTCGCCACATGTTTTCTGGTTTGGAGTACTTGCACAAGAACCAGGTGGCGCACCGTGACATCAAGGGGGATAATCTTCTTATTTCTATGGATACAGGTATAGCAAAACTGGCGGATTTTGACCAGGCAAAAATTATGACGACGCATGGAACTCTGCGCAAGGCGGCAACTGCGACGCTTGCGGGGACACCTTACTGGATGGCGCCGGAGGTTATTACCGACGAAAGCGGATACGATCCATTTAAGGCGGACATCTGGTCCGCTGGCTGCACTGTGGCTGAGATGATAACGGGCCGCCCCCCGTGGACGCCAATGGCTAACGTGATGCACATTATGAACAAACTCGCAATGTCATCCGGGTGGCCCGACGCGGTTCCAAAGGATCCCGAAGCGTTGGGCTCCAAGCACGCCTATGACTTCCTAGATCTCTGCTTCCAACGCGATGTTTCCGAGCGACCTGATGCCACAACACTACTGAATCATCCTTTTCTACAAATCTAGTACGTTGATAAGTAAACTGAATGGAGGAAGGGAATGATGGAAAAGAAGAAGAAGTTAAAAAAAAGTACCTCGTTTTTTTTGTTTTTTCGTTTTTGTTTTGTTTTTTTCTTGAGCGTGTGTGTAATATGCGAAGGTAAAGAGCCGGATAGAGAGGTATTCAAAGGGTGGAGATGAGACTGACAGTGAGAGCGGGAGACGAGGAGCCGAAGGCGAAGAGGAGTTGCAGTTGGAGGCGAAGGAGGTTAAGTGAAGTGAATCCAAGGAACTGCAAAGAAGTGAACTAAAAAAAAAGGGGGAACTATCAAAAGGAAGGGGGGGGGCAGGGCTTGAGGCTTTCTGTTTATGGGCGGGTTGCCGGGAACACAGGAGCAGAGGGCCTCATAGTAAGCGCGGACACACAAACCCACACTCGAATGAAGAAGGGAATTTTTCTGTTTTGTTTTTCTTCTTTTTTTGGCTTCTTGTTTGGTAACGAGATGAGTTCCTTTTCTCCGCCGGGACCCTCCGCGCGTTTTGAAGACGGTCGCTGTTGTGTCAACTTTTTGTTATACATATCTACTTGTGTCAGCCTCTCTTGCCGTGTGCGAGTGTGTCAATGCGAGAGGCAGGGCGAGGTAGGAGTGCGTGGGTGGGTGGGTGGGGGAGGCTGAATGTCTTCCTCTGCGTGGGGCAGTATTTGCCGGCGGAGGGCGCAGGTGTAGGCGCGAGGCAAAAGTCATTTATGTACGTGTTCCCGTTTTTCTGAGTTTTGAATGCTCGCCTTTACTTATGCTCTTCAGCCGCTGGCATCCTTCTCCATCTAGGTGTGGAAGAAGCAAAGGGGGCGAGATGCACTGGCGTCGGCCCCTTTTTTTTTTTTGTAAATTATTATTATTATGGCTTTGTTTGCCTTTCTCTTTTCTCTCTCTTTATCTATATATATCTCTCACTTTACGTGTGCCGCTCCTTTTTCTGCCGTAGGAGGTGAGAGAAAGCGCTTTCCCTGTGGTTGGCGTGGTTTCGTTCATCGATGTTTATGTCTTGTTTTTTTTTTCTTTTATCCTCTCTTCCCGTCGTCTTTCTGGGCTCCGCGTGAGTATCTGCATTCACTGCGCACTAGTTATAACTAGAACACGCCAGCGCCACTAGTGTGTTTTATTTGTTGTTTTTGTACTTCTGAGCCCACTCATGGAGACGGTGCGCCCGCAAGAGGCACCGGAGCGGCAGAAAACCGGCGTCACTCGCGTGGAGGAGAAGTACCTCATCGACGAGGATGCCGTCGTCGGCCGGGGGGCGTGGAGCGTGGTGAAGCGGTGCACTCCCATCGCGCCCTACGAGCCCCCAGCGCTGCGGTCCGGGATGAAGGTTGTGGTCAAGATCATTGAGAAGGACTACCTCATCTCTCTGACAAAGGGCAACGTGGAGCGCGCCACGGCGGAGGTGAAGCGGGAGATCGACGTTCTGCGACACATTCCGGCTCACGAAAACATCGTGACCTTTTTAGAGTACATTGAGACGGAGAAGGAGTTTCTCCTCTTTTTCGAGGAAGTGCGGTGCGGGGATTTGTGCGAGATTATTCTCCAGGCACCGGACGGGAAACTTACTGAGGAGAAGGCCAAACTCTACACGTACCAAATTATCAAGGCCGTTCTGCACTGTCACATTCACGACGTGATACACCGCGACATTAAACCAGAAAACCTGCTTGTTAGTGACGATGATAACATCAAGCTAACTGACTTTGGGCTTGCCAAGCGCTCTAAAGGGGTTTGCACCTCAGCTGAACCGAGGAGCCTCTTAGATCCCGTTGCCCTTTGTATGCCATATCCAGGCGCCGAAAGGCTTATTGGGAAGCGCGTTGTCTGTTCCGACGTCATTGGTACCCCTCGTTACGGATCCCCTGAGATGTTCTACGCGAAATTTACGCAGACATATTACGATGGATTTAAGGCCGATACATGGTCTGTGGGGGTGGTGACCTACATTACACTCTCTGGCAGCTTCCCCTACTCGGCGGCGGCACACGCCCCGGAGAAGGAGGTTTTTCGCACCATCATGGACACGGCACTGCCTGAACCACAAGGTATATCTTCTGATGCACTGGATTTTATTCAAAGACTTCTTAATAAGGATCCTCACAAGCGCATGTCACTCTATGATGCGTTGAGCCATCCGTGGCTCGAGGGAGTTGCAAGCACGAGGGGGTCGGTTACAGTACCGTTAATGCTTGAAAGATTTTCCTCATCGGAAGTGTCAGAGGCTTGTACTATGTTCGATAAAGAGGCGAAGGCCTTGCATCAATGTATACGTTTGTTGCAACGCGAGAATCAACGTCTTCGCGATGAACATGAAAAGTTTGAAGATACACTTGCTAAACGTGAGCGAGATTCACGCAGAGTCACTACACCGCGGCGCGCTGAAACACCCACAGGGGGCTCTCGCGTGCGCGGGGCTCGAGTGTCGGGTGCCTCTAGCGTCCTGCGTATTGGCTCACCCTCAAGAACGGGAGTGCGACCGGGTCGTAGTAGCGTCACGAATGAAAGCTCTAACGGCTCTGTCAGCCGGCCTTCGGCGCACCGGATAACTGCACGGAGCCCATTGGCTCGGAGTGCGGCAAGTACCGTTCGCCGTGGAACTCCTGCGCGCGCGGGCGGCACGACCCCCATGCGAAGCGGCACACCGTCGCGTCCGACAGCGCGTTCAACTTCTGCGCGGGGCATCTCGGTCCTCTCAAATGGTGTTGCGTCTTCCACTTCTGTCTCCCAACGGGCTTCCACGCCGGGGCGCACAGGCGTGCGCTCCGCCACCCCGTCGCGCTCCTCCGTTCTCAGTCACGTGACCTCGGCAAAGGAGCTGCAGGTAGGGGAGACCGTCACGTATAAAGGGTATCGCGCCGTTGTTCGCTTCAACGGCTCCACTGCCTTCGGCGCTGGAATTTGGATAGGACTAGAGATGTTGGAGGGGAACGAAGGAACAAACGACGGTTCCTCATTTATTGATAAGAAGCAGTACTTCACGTGCCCTAAAGGGAAAGGGGTGTTTGTGCGGGCATCGCAGGTGAAGAAAATTTAGCGTTGTCCGCTGCCTTTTTCGCCTTTCCCATCCCTGCCTTCGTCGTCTCGCCTGCGACAATGAGGGAAAGAGAGAGAGAGAGACGCAAGAATAGGTAAACCTACGTGCCTGAACTTGACATGTCTAGTGTTGCTTGTAGATGTCGGGCCCTAGAGTTAGATAAAGGCAGAGAAAGAAGAACATCCCTTGGTGTGTGTGTGTGTGTGTGCGTGTGTTGCCCCGAGGGTAGAGAAGTCGCGTCATTGTTTGTAGCTGCCGTTCGCGAAACCAGTGAATCATCCCACTTAGCCGTTCTTCGCCCTCCTCCCATGTGAGATGGAATGCCTGGAAACTAAACGGAAGAAGGAGTCGGAGGGCAACAACAACAACAACAACAACGCAAGGAAGAAGGCGCGGAGAAAGAAAAGAGGAAAGGAATGAAGGAAGAAAGGAGAAGGAGGGAAGGAAGGAATGAAGGGAGAAGGAAAGGAAAGAAGCGGAGCGCGGATTGGGACAAGGGATGAAGCGCGCAAGAGGAGGTGTTTGATTCTTTTGGGTTCTTATTCTCTCCGGTTTCTTTTTCTTCTTGGCGCCCACCACGTTACGCACGAGGAGTAACGCAACGAGCACAGCAGCATGCTTTTCCCCGCAATATGCCAGCCCCCTGCTGCATTGTTTTGTTTTGTTTTTCTTTCCCTCCTCCTTGAGGTTCTTAAACGGCGAGCGGTAAACAGGGGGATTGAGGACACTAACCTAGAGGGTGGCAGTGACGGTGTTGCCATTGACCTTTAATAAAGACCCCTCCTCTCCCCACACCCTTTTTTGTTTGCTGTTGTGGCTGTTGCTGGGTTCCTTGCACAAGCATAAGTCTGGGCACAGATGTCCGTTTCTTCATATCTGCACATGCGTGTTTCCCTCATTATCTTTGTCGCTCACCAGTATAAATTCTCCCTTTTCCTCCCTTTGCCCTTTCCCTCGTGTTCCCGCCGTCTTTTTGTTGTGTTCTGAAATATATCTCCGCCTTCAATTCCTGAGTCAAGTGGTGACAAACAATCTGGTCTACTTCTTTCTTGTGCCTCATTGCATGCAACTTTTTTTTTGCACCGATGTTTGTTTTGTTGTCTTTTGTTGTTGTTTGGTTTCCTGACTCCCAAAGCCACGCAAAGGATGCCTTTAGATGAAGGAGAGACCCTCTCGAGGGCGGTGCAGCAGCTTCGCCGGGCGTGCGGTGATGCGGCTAGCGCAACCGCAGAGTTGGGTACCGCGCGTGACACCATGGCACGCGAAAAGCTGCGCAGGTCACGTCTACTAGTCACGCAGTGTGAGGAGAAGGCGAGCGGAATTATTGCCTCGGGTGTAGATGCGGAGTTGGTTGCCCTGCGCGGGCATTACAACGCGGCGCGGGCAGACTTTGATAGGGTCAACAAGGAGGCGATTCGAAGGGAGAAACAGACGTGGCGCCCTACTTCGCAGGCAGATTCGGTGGAGGGAGACAGGCGTGGCGCCGTGGGCGCCTCCCTCTTGGCCCAGAATCCTGGGCGGGTGCAAGAGATCAGGGCAGTCGACATGTCGGGGCTCCATACGGAGGAAGCCCTCCAGCGGGAGAAACTCCTCGGCGTGCGCGAGATAGAGGCCAACATGACGGACCTCCACACCATGTACCACGAGTTTCATGATCTTGTGCACCATCAGCAAACCAATCTGGACAGTATGACGGAAAATGTGTCGGGCGCCAAGACGTCTGTGGAGGGCGGAAGGAAGGAGCTCGCAGTGTCCTCCAGACGGCAGAAGTGTGGCCGAAAGATGCTGTGTGCCATTGCTGCCGTGTTGCTCATTGTCATTATTGTGGTGGTCGTTGTGGTGCTGCTTGTGAAGCGTTGAGGGGTGTTGCGTTCTGAGTGATGGAAGAGTGTGTGGGGGGCGGGTGCGTGGGGCGTTCCGCCGCCGCCGCCACTCGTGCGCCCCCAAGTTTTACGAGGAGGCACGAGGTGAGGAGGGCGGCGAAGCGCCAGCCACCACAGAGCAAGGGCAGGCACTCCAACCCCCATGAAAAGCGAGGGAGGGAAGGGGAAAAGGAAAGAAAGAAATAAAGGCAAGTTTCCGCTTTTCACATGACGTATTTCTGAAAGCCGGTTGACTCCCTCCGCTTCAGGTGTTGTATTGCTTCTTTTTTTTTTCTCTTGCTCTCTCTGTGTGTATATATTTTTCCCTGTTTTAAAGTTTTCATTTTCCTTGTTCGTTTGTTTCCCGCTAGCGTTATTAGTGTTGCATCTTGTGGTGGCTTCTGCTTTTCTTCGCCCACCGTACCGGCGTGAATGGTAGTGGGGAACTGCAAACGAAGGGGAAGGGGGTTTTGGGTGCCAAGAACAGCTGTGCCGTGCTTGGGGTGAGGTGTGCGCGGTTGGCCTCTTCTCTTGCCTTCCCTCCTCCTGCCCCTCTCCGTTCTCCTCTCTCTCTCTCTCCCCACCCCATTTCTCTGTGTGTCTGGGTGTGCGTGTATTGACTGGTTGGTTTCGCCTTTTCTCCATCTACATGCCTATCTACCTGTTTATGTCTCCTTCTCTGGTGCCGTGGGGAGTTCAGTTTCATTGCCAACTACTTTGCTTAAGCCCGCAGCATGGACTTTTTGGACGAGTGCCACCCACAGCCGCAACAGAGACACGGGCAGGAAGCACTTCAGAGCAGCGAGCAGCACACACCCCATCAGTCGCAGCAGGACGCCGGCTCACTCTTTGGGGAAGTTGCTTCACCAACACAGGCGGCGGCGGCAAAGACGGCCGCTGGCGCGCCAGAAGCGGCACAGCCTGTCTACGTGCCGCCTGTTGTACCGCAAGCTGCCAACACCGAAGATTTTTGGTCCGATGACAGGGCGTCGCCGGCGTCACCGCTTCAAACCGAAACGAATGGGCGTGGTGTGACCGAAGCCGTTCAGAAGGAAATCGAGAAGCGGACACAAAATATAGATGCAGAATCTAAGAAAAAGGCGGAGGCCCAGAAGGTTGCCGCGGAGTCCTACATGAAGCAAGTAAAGGCCCAACATGAGGCGAGGCTAAAGGAGACGAAGGCGGAGAATATGAGGCAGCAAAAGGCGAATGAAGCAAAGCGAAATGAGTTCAAGAAAAGTGGTGCAGTTTGGAACGGCGTAGGCTTGATGACGGACCTCAGCAAGGCCAATGTGTACTCTAAAAGTACAGAGCGAATGAGGAATATTCTGAGGAAGCTAAACGACACCGCAGAGGGTGAAACGCTCCAGTCGTAGCGAAGGTGATGGCAACCACAATGAAACGTGAAACCCAAAGAAAAATACACGCCTGCCGAGCAGGGAGAGGAAAAAAAAAAAAGAAGGGGATGAGCTCCCCATAGAGCTCATGAGGAAAAGAAATGGAACTGAAGAGATGTGTATTTTGTCATGAAACCTCCGTCTTGTTTTATTTCTTGTTATATATCTCTGTCTCTTTCCATCCTTCCATCCTTCCAGTCGCTTCCGTTTCCGTTGCCTTTACTACTACTGCAATGAAAATGATGGCGCCCATTACTACTTCTACTTTTGTTTCTCTCTCAAGGCCCTGCTCTGTGATTGCAAGTATTGTGCACCTGCGTGTGTGAGTTGTTGTGCTTGTTTCATCTCGACTCCGTTCCAGTTATTTCGTTTTCTTTGTTTTTCCTTTATTTATTTTTATTTTATTTTATTTTTGTTTTTCATGCCATTTCGCCCATTCCTGCAAGGTTTTTATTTTCTCTGACTGAGAATGCGCGGAGGCCGTGGGGACGGTGGTGGTCGCGGTGGCCGTGGCGGCGGCTTTGGCCGTGGTGGGGGCCGTGGCGGGGGTCGCGGTGGCCGTGGCGGCGGCTTTGGCCGTGGAGGCGGTCGTGGCGGGGGTCGCGGAGGTCGCGGCGGTGGCGGAGGCCGTGGGGGTGGGGGCTCGGCGGTACGGGGCAACGTTTTCCAGCCGCATGCTCGCATGCGTGGGTGTTATCTACTTGCCGGCAAAGACACCCTCGCAACAAAGTCCCTTGTCCCTGGTGTTTCCATCTACGGGGAAAAGCGCGTCAGTGGAACCGTTGCCGGGGAAACCGAGTCCACCGAGTTCCGTGTCTGGAACCCGTACCGCTCCAAGTTGGCGGCAGCCATTTATTCGGGCGTTGCCCAGATCTATATGGAGCCGGGATCTACTGTGCTGTACCTTGGAGCCGCCAGCGGAACCACAGTTAGTCATGTTTCAGACCTGGTAGGGCCGGAGGGTGTCGTCTATGCGGTGGAGTTTTCGCACCGCAGTGGCCGTGACTTGGAGGAGATGACGAAGCGCCGAAGCAACATTGTGCCCATCCTGGAGGACGCCCGCTACCCACAGAAGTATCGGATGCTGATCCCGCGATTGGTGGATTGCATCTTCATGGATGTTGCCCAGCCTGACCAGGCACGTATCCTAGCGCTGAATGCGCAACACTTCTTGAAAGAAAATGGTGGGTTTGTCATTTCCATCAAAGCCAACTGCATTGACTCCACCGCAGATCCTGCTACAGTATTTGCCTCTGAGGTGCAGAAGCTGAAGGACTCCGGTTTGAGGCCCAAGGAGCAGGCTTCACTAGAGCCCTTTGAACGTGATCACGCCGTGGTTGCGGGGTACTACAAGTCGCCACCGAAGTAAGCCAGCATTGTGCCTCCCCCAACTCTCTGCCCTGTGTGCCTCGCTCTCGGAGAGAAAATGACACCGTGGGATGCGTCTAAGTGCGAGGTGATGTTATGGTTAACGCTAAAAGGCATTAAAATCCGATAATCAAACATGAGGGAAGAAGGAGGGGGGAAAGAAAAGAACGACGAAAGTAAAAAAGAAGGAAAAACGAAGGAAAA